TCAGGAATCATCTGCATAAAGAGAGTAACCGAACCCAGGGGAGTCAACGACATTACTGAGAACACATCTACAAGGTTATCTCAAAAGTGTGAGTGCAGTTTTAAGCTTTAGTAGCTTAAAGCTGCACTTGGGACATCATGTAGAGAAGAAATGGTGGCCTAGTGCAGAGTCTTGGGGAACACCAACACTTAATACTTCATGAGTAGGAGAGGGATTGACAACCCATCACAAGAGATCTCTGAAGGTGTGGTTGAACAAGAAGAACTAAGAAAAAGCCAATGGAAGAGACAGTAGGTGTTCAAGAGGAACTTCATTCAGTATTCTCAGTCAAAAAACATTTATTAAGTGCTTACTATGTGCTGGGCACTATGCCACCGGGGATACAAAGAAAGGCAAAAGATGGTCCCTATTCTCAAGGGGTGCACAGTCTAATGGGGAGACAACATGTCAACAACTACGTACAAACAAACTTTTTGTTGTTGTTTAGTCGACTAGTAGTGTCTACATACAGAACAAATTGGAAATAATATGGGCAACTAGATGGCGCTATGGATAGAGCACCAGCCCTGGAGTCAGGAGGACCTGAGTTCAAATCCAGCCTCAGACACTTGACACTTATTAGCTGTGTGACCTTGGGCAAGTTACTTAACCCCACTGCCTACAAAAACAAAAACAAACAAACAAAAAAAGAAATTGGAAATAATGAAGGAAAGGCATTAGAATTAAGGGGGAAAAGCTTCCTGTATAAGGCGGGATTTTAGCTAACTTAAAGGAAGATGGGGAAACCAGGAGGCAGAAGTAAGGAAGAGAACTCCAAGCGTAGGGGACAGTAAGTGAAAATGCCCAGAGTCCAGAGATGGAGTTTCTTGTTCAAGGTACAGCAAGGAGGCCAATGTCACTGGGTCAGAGAGTATGTTGCGGAGTGTAAGGTGTAAGAAGACTAGAAAGGCAGGGGGGCAGATTACGAAAGGCTTTGAATGCCAAACAGAGGATTTTATATTTGATTATGGAGGTATCAGGCAGCCACTGGAGTTTACTGAGGGGGGTGGGGAGGGAGAGTGACACGATCAGACTTTAGGAAGATCACTTTGACAGCTAAGTGGAAGATGGACTGGAGTGGGGAGAGACTTGTGTCAGGGTGACCAAGCAGTAGGCTATTGCAATAGTCTAAGCATGAGGTGATGAGGGCCTCCACCAGGATGGTGGCAGTGTCAGAGGAGTATAGGGAGTATAAGAGAGATGTCAGGAAGATAAAATCAACAGGCCTTGGCAACAGCTTGTATATGGGGGTGGGGATGCGGGTGGGTAAGAGGAATTGAGGATTACATCCTCAACTAGGGACTGGGAGGAAGGTGGTACTCTCAACAGCAATAAGGAAGTTAGGAAGAGAGCAAGAAAATAAGTGTGTTTGGGACACGGTCAGTTTAAGATGTCCCATAGTTGCAGTTGGCAGATCTGAGATTGGAGGTCAGCAGAGAGCTTAGGGCTAGACAAACAGATCTCAGAATCATTTGCCTAGAGCTGATAACTGAATCTATGGAAGCTGATGAGATCACCAACTGAAATGGTATAGAGGAAGAAGAGAAGGCAGCTTAGGACAGAGAAGCTAGGGGACTACTGCTAATCTTTGAAATAGTTTCTGTAGAGCAAGGTTGAAAGCCAGATTGTAAGGGGTTAAGAAGCAACTGAGCAGTGAAGAAATGTAGGTACGAGTTTGGCTGTGAAAGGTAAAACAAAAATGAGGATTAAGGCAAGGTTGCAGTATAATTAATAATAGTAATAGTGACAATTGGGAAGCTAGGTGACACAGTGGATAATGCACTAGGCCTGGAATCAGGAAAGCCTGAGCTCAAATCTGGCCCGAGACACATACTAGCTGCATGACCCTGGGCAAGTCACTTAACTCTGTTTGCCTCAGTTTCCTCATCTGTAAAATGTGCTGGAGAAGGAAATGGTAAACCACTATGGCATCTTTGAAAAGAAAACTCCAAATGGGGTCATGAAAAGTTGGACACAACTAAAATGACTCAACAACAACAAAAATAGTGACAATGATAAAGCGGTATCCTTTGTGCTCCTTGATTCAATTGGATAATTTACCTTTTGCTATGCAGTGAGTTCCAATGTTGATATCTCAGACTATCTCTCTTCTGGTTATCCCTCCTCCTTCTTCAGCAATTTATACTCAAATCAGGAATGTCTTTGCTGGCATGAACATTTGGGCTGGTGACAAATGTGTTTATTTTCACTGCCTGGGCCAACATTCTGAGTTCTGGATAAATTCCACCTGGAGAAATCTAGCTGCACTAGCAGCCTGAGGGAGGGGATCCACAGGGTTTGATTTTGATCCCACTCTTCAAACCAGATTATAACATTTTCATGACTGGAAGACCAGCTACATTCTTCTATTCAGCTTGTATTTGGCTGTGAAGGGAGACTTAGAAATTTGTTTCTATTTCACTCAGAGGAAGGGCAGGAAGAATGTCAGGAACAATTAAAGAGTGAGGACACAAATCAGCCGCACAGAAGAGCCACATCTGTTTCACACAGAACTGCCTAACTTTTGCATTTCCTCTGCTGAAAGGACAACCACCCACTGTTACTCAGAATAGCAACTTTTCTGTCTGATTTATATGGAATCGACCAGGCCTGGTAAAACCAGAGCTGGAACAGAATGTTAAAATGAAAAACGTCACGGGAAGCAATCTTTTTTTGAAAACCGTAAACAAGGAGATTATATCCTATTGGGCTTGTTTAAAATATGTATGCGCGTATGCTCATGTACACACACACACACATGCACACACACACACGGACACCCCTGTTGTTTAGGTCCACTAAATCGCAAGGAGACATCATTCAGCTCAACCCAGGCTGCCTGTAACTATGTCATTCACTGAAAAATCGCCCTTTGTCAGTAAGAATGCCAGGACTGAGAAACACAAGTTGTTGTGAGAAGCGAACTTGGTTTCTGAGCTGACCTCACATCCTAGTCCATTTTAATAGAAATGTCTGAAGAAACCTCACCTGTGAAAGGAGGATGATAGAAGAGAACCACCTTGTGCAGAAGACAGAGAGCCACTGAAGTAATACAACAGGGATGGCCTCTGGGACACAGACTGGCAGATTTTCTACTATGAAGCAGGCCTGGTCTCCCTGCAGGGGCCAACTGAGAAAGAGCCAGGATCTGGGGAGGCCTGTTTAGCACTTTTTTCTCCCAGAGAAAGCTCTCTGATGACAAGGGCCATTGTTTCCTCTTCCCTGGATGTTCTGGGAAAAGTCTGAAATGCAGTGCTGACTCTTACACAAGGGAGCGCTACTGAGAAGGCTAGCTGGGAAAAGACCGAGCTCTACTTACCATCAGGTAAGAGCCTTTGGCATGGGCAATGGTCGCTTGGCCAGAAGTGCCCCAGAATCTGTAATAAATTAGACCTCTGTCCATCTGGCAAAAGTAGCAGTGGCCACGGTCGAGATGTGAGGCTCTCACACTATTTCATCAAGCTGTTTCATCCTTCCTTCTTTCTCACTGCCATTTGTTTAAACTGACTATCCTCCAACTAAAATCACTGACATTTTCTTTTTACAAATAACTAGCTAGCATTCATATAGTGTTTTGAGGTTTCTAAAGCACTTTACAAATATTGTCTCATTTTATCCTCACAACAACCCTGGGAGGTAGGTGCTACTATTATCCTCATTTTACAGATGAGGAAACTGAGGAAAAATGAGGTCAAGTGACTTTCCCAAGCTCGAAAGTATCTGAGAGTGGATCTGAATTCAGGTCTTCCTGAGTCCACATCTAGTGCTCTATTCACTGGCCACCTAGCTGCCTCGATTTTCTCTTGTGTGCTCCTAATATATCATTAACAAGATGCTATCCTGGGTATGAACAAGGAAATGGACTAAGGTTAGACCTTTTCCCAACAAATTTTGAAGCCTCCTAACTCAGTGGATCCAGATCTGACCCTGGCTATTCTAGAACAAATAACGAAGTGTAACAAATAACATGAAAGCTCCTAATCAGTAGCTCTCCAAGGAGGCTGCCTCTGGCATGGACCTCTTTCTAGCACAGACCTCTCTTTACAGTTTCTGGAGACCTCTAACATGGCTGAGAGTGCAGCACTGGCCAATTCAGGGTCACTGTGGTCTGTCCCCACGCCTAGTCATCTCAAGGTCTCCAAAAAAAATTAGAAGCCTGGACCCATGATGAAAAGTGCTATCTCCAGAGAGAACTGATGAACTCAATGTAGACTGAAGTACACTTTTTAAAAATTTCTGCATTTTAAAAATTTGGTTTGTGTTTTCTTTTGCAACATGGCTAATACGGGAATATGTTTTGCATGACAAAATCAAATTGCTTGCCTTCTCAAGGGGGAGGGGGTGGAGAAGGGAGGGAGAGAATCAGGAATGCAAAATTTTAAAAAGTGATTTTTTAATTGTTTACATGTAATTGGGAAATATTTAATGAAATAAATAAAAACAATTAAAAAGAAAAAATGAAAAGCCCTCTTCACAAAAAGGTTGGGGACCACAGCAGATCCTACCATCGCTTTACCATTATCCCCCCTCCCCTTTTCTTTTGGGTGAGGCAATTGGGGTTAAGTGACTTGCCCAGAGTCACACAGCTAGTGAGTGTTATATGTCTGCATTATCCTCTTTCTTAAAGGTTTAATCTATCCTCGGGACACCAACTCTGCACATAAGTGAGATATTAGGGATTAGATCTAGCACTATTTGAGAAAATCAGAAACTGGAGTCAAACTAAATCAAATTCAAGCCCATTTAAAAGCATGCACTAAAACCCCCCAACTGCTATCTTTCGGACTGTAGCAAGAAAATAAGTATTTAATAATTTGTCAGAAGATATCTTTTTAGTCAGCAGTCCAGTTGAGTTTTCAATTCAATTCAATCCTTATTAAGCGCTTACTATACACAAGGCACATCACAGAGATGCCTATACCAGAATTTGGGCATACCTCATGGAGGAATGAGTCTCTTACCTGTAGCAGCTCAAGGTCGGAGGAGTCTTCTTGCCCAGGAACCATCTCTGTTAACATCTCAGACATGACTTTCGTGTTTCCTCGGACAACATCAAGTTCACTCCGCAGCCTGGCAATCTGTTATAAGCCAAAGGTAAGGGTGGGGAAGAGCGATAAATTAGTAGATAAACTAAAAGAATTGGTTTTTTTCCTTAATGCCTTTCAAAAATGTTACATTTGTTTCTGAATATCTCCCTTCCCTTCTCACCTACCAGCAAGTCTTCCTTTGGAATAAAAATTAAAAAAGAAACAGAAAAAAATGAACTTAACAAAACCAGCCAACCCATCAACTATATCAACGGTATATGCAACATTCCATACTCAAAGTCCCCAAACTCTGCAATGAAGGGAATGTTTTTGTCAACAATTCTCAGGGCAAAACTTGGTCACTATAATTATATAGTGTTTGGGTTTGTTTTATTATTCTTTCCATTGACACTGTTGTAGTCACTGTAAACTGTGCGAGAAGAGGCTCTTTTGCTCTATTTTTCCTCCTATGCTAGAATGCATGTTTGCAAGAAGAGGTGGCATCTTTGGCAGTTTAGTGAGACACAAAGGTGTCACTAATGAGGCAGCACTACTTCAGAGAAGACTTATCAAACAGTATTTAAAATGCCTATTTGCATGTAGTACTGCACTAGGGACAGAGATTACAAATTCCTAGGCGGCAAGAACTGAGAGAGTATTTATTTAGTAAGGTAATCAGCCCTTTCAGCACTCTTCTAGGGGAGGAGAGGAATGGGGGGACGGAGAAGAGGGAGAAAGAAGTGGAAAAGAAAGACAGAGAAAGAAGACAAGGAGGGCAGCTAAATGGCACAGCAGATAGAGCTCTGACCTTGGAGTCAGGTGGACTTGAGTTCAAATTTGGCTTCAGAAACATGACACTAACTAGCTGTGCGACCCTGGGCAAGTCACTTAACCCCAACTGCTTCACAAAAAAAAAAAGCAAGGAAAAGGGAGGGGGTAGGGAAAGAGAGGAAGAGGAAAAGGGAAAGAGGAGAGAGAGGAAAAGGAAGAAGAGAAAGGAAAGAGGGAGAGAGAGGGGAAAAGGAGATGGAGAGAGAGAGAGAGAGGGAGGCAAGGGAGAGGGAGAGAGGGAGAGAAAAAGAAGGAAGGAAGGTTAAGATAGCAGTAATCTGCTAGCCTTGGAAACTACCTCGTGGAAAGAAATCCTTGGAATTTGCTCAGCCAACTATGTGGAAGTGATCGAAACCTGCTCATAAAAACCTGAGAACTGAAATAAATACCTTAATTTTTCCTGTTGCCAAAGCCTATATTGCTGCAAAAGTTTTTTCCTCTGTGTCTTCTGTCACAATTCAATGTCTTAGTCCTTTAATGATCCTGGCAACTCTCTGCTTACCCTTCTCCAAAATCTTTCTGACACACACGAAGGCCACAGAAGGCTTCCATATTTCCACAGTTTGCATCATAAAGGAGCTTGCTTAGGTATTCATCACATAGAAAAAATGATTACTAATGATAGAAGAAAACTGCTGAAGGGCATTTCTCTGCCACAAACTACTTAGGTGAGAAGTCAAATAACTCATAATATGAATGGTAGATAGTAGAAAATCTAGAACCTAAGTTATAGATTCCCTCCACCTCATATCAGCTGACTGAGGGGCTACATCACATAATAAATTATTATGAGCCACCGTAATAAGCTAGGCCATCATTCATTCCTAAAATGATGTCTGCTGATAAGGCATCCCTGACTGGGAAATCAGTGTGAATTCCAGGGACACAGAAGAGGGTAAGAATTACTAAAATACCAGAAGGTCAAAAAACATGTTAGATAGCATGGCATATCAGGAGGACAAGATATAAAACTAGTGTGACTGGAGTGCAGATAACAAAGAAACTAATAATATGAAATACAGTGGGGAAAAGAAGTGTATTGTTGGATTTTGGAGTACCCTGAAAGCCAGGAAAAGGAACCTAAACTGCACTAGGTAGGCAACAGAGAACCAATAAAAATTTTAAAATAGAAGAACAGATCCGTGCAAGCGAAAGATTATTCGGGCAGCAGTATCAAGGACAGAGTAGAGGGAGTGGAGACAGTAAGACCTGTAAGGAGTCAACTGGTAATGACGACCTGCATGAGAGTGATTACAGTGGGAGGAAAAAGGAGGAGAGACATATTAATGACATTTTATTGAGGTGCAATCACGAAGACTTGGTAACTAATTGTATATGAGAGGGTGGTAAAAAAAATAACCTCAAGGGTACAAACACTGGAGCAGCAACGGTACCAGCAACAAAAATGGTGAAGTCTACAGAGTGAGCAAGTTCAGGGGAAAGATAGTGAGCGTGGTTTTAGACATGAAATTTGAAGAACTGGTAGGACATCCAGACAGTGACATCCTGAAGGAATGGAGCTCATGGGGATATGGGTCCAGAGCTCAAAAGAGAAGTCAAAGGCTGGAGACATAGACATGAGAGTCATCCTTATAGATCAGTATAGAAAGGGGATAGCTTAAGCAGTGGAAGTGAAAGAGACTGCAGGGGAAAAGGCATCCTGAAAGAAGACTGACAAGGACAGGCCTGATGGAAAGAAATGCCTACAATGAGGAGTCGGGAAGCTCTTTGAAGGGCCAGTGAAGGAGTGGTTGGAAAAGAAAGAGGAGAGCTAACAGTGGGTGGTATTACAAATTCTGAAGCCAAAAGAGAAAGTGGTGAGAGAAATGAACAACAGTATCAGAAGCTGCAGAGGTCAAGGAAGAAAAAGTCTGGAAAAAGGACAATGGATTTGGCAGTTAAGAGATCATTAATGACTTGTGAAGAAATCATTCTGGTAGAGTGGTGGGAAGAGAAGACAGATTGGTTAAAAGCAGAAGAATGGATAAAGACAACTTTTCCCAAAGAACTTGGCTGTGAAAGGGATGAAATGGATGACAGGGCCTAAATGGCCTAGAAGGGTTAAGGAGGAGCTTTTATAGGACTGGGAAGACAAAAACGGGTTTGTAAGCAGAGGAAACCAGTGGCAAGGGAGAGAATAAATATGACTAATAGAGAGATGACTGTTAGAGGAAAGTTCTGGAGGAGCTAGAAGGGAATGAGATAAATGAAATCAATAGAAGAATTAGCCCATGTGATCAGAGGGAAAAGGGAAAAAAGTAGATGCTGCTACTGAGATTTTCTGAGGAATGAGGAAGGAAGCTGAAGGAACTAACGTTAGACAGGTTCTTAATGTTGTCAAGTGGGAAGATGGCATTGGGTATAAATGTGGAAATAGGAAAGAAAGGAGAAAAGAGAAGGAATACTGATGCTGAAGGGAAAAAGAGCAGATGGTCAATAAAGGCAGAGATGCAAGCAGCATCCAGGAAGTGGCTAAGGTTGTGCAACAGAAAATCTATAGTAGGTGAAGAAAGCTCCATTTGGTGAATTTATCCATTTATACTCAGTAGCCCTGGAATAGGTACAAAGAAATCTGATGGTACAGGTTACTAGGGGTGAAGGTTCAAAGTCTGTGAATGTTTGAAGTTAAGAAAGGCAGGGGATTCTAGTAAAGTAGCTTGTGAAATTAAATAATAACAATAATAACTAAATTTATTTAACACCTTAAAGTTTTCAAAATATTTTACAAACAATATCTCATTTGAACCTCAAAACAAACCTGTGAGATAGATATTACAGATATTACATCCACCTTTCAGATAAGAAAACTGATACTCTGGGAAGTTAAGCCATTTGCTCATGGTAAAAACTAAGTGTCCAAGGTAGGGTTAGAACACAAGCCTTTCTGACTCGAAGTCCTACACTCCATTTGGCACCCCCTGTTCCTTCTTAGCGTGTTGCATCACACTAACAAAGCTGGGAATGAAAACAATTGTTGGTGAGAGAGTGGAAGACATGGGATGGGCTGAAGGAGAAAGTTTGGTTGAATGAGCCAATACAAACTCAGCTCAAGTCATGCGTCCTGCATTAAGCATTCTCTGATTACTCAAGCCCATATTGATCTCTTCCTTCTCTGAACTTATTCTAATATTGGTACTTAACATATATCGTCCTATATTTCATGTTTGTCTGTTTGTTACGTCCCCAAGTAGTTCACTGAGGTCAGGGACCACCTGTTGTGTGTTTCTGCATCTGCATCTACTACAGCATCTCGAACACAGTAGCAATTGCTTAGTATCTGCAACATAAAATCTTAGTTCTGCAAGAAATCTTGAGAGATAATCTATTTTCGGCCAGTACCTTAATCAGAACTATGCTGAAATCAAATTCAAATGGAATTCCATTTTATTTTTTAACATTTCTAGGGAAAGAATTTCCAAAGTCTCCATCTGTAATTCTTTTTAAAGGGTAGCAACAATTCATAATTTTAACCAAAAAGTAATAGGGATAAATATAAAGTTTTACACGCAGGTCCAGAAAATAAAGTTCATGCTATGTTAGAAACTTGGCTAGATAGGAGTCAACTTGAAAAAGATCTGGGGGTGGACTGCAAAACTCCGTATATCAATAGTGGGATATGGTTGTCAAAAGAAGCCAATGCAATGTTAGCCTGCGTTGAATTTTTTTCTGCTCTTGTTTTAAGGAGAAATAGGAAAGTCACAAGATAATAAAATGACCTCAAGAGTACTGTTATTAAAACAACTTCCAAGGTATGTTCTCAGATCATTCCACATTCAAACTAAGCTTTTAAAACAAAATCTACAGTCCTATACAATAAGAATTGATTTTCAGAATGATAATCGTTAGTCCCTGCAGGATCCTTAATCAAACTAAGATTAAATAATAATCATTATATTTAGTAAGGCAGGAAAGCTACAAAAATACATTTGAGAAAGATTTCCTGTAAGAAGGGTTGAAACCAAAAAGGGCTTCAAATTAACCCTGAGTTAACCACTTACATGACTAGAAAACTTTTTTCTCTAGGATTCTAGTTTTTTGGAGTTTTCCTGTATAAGTTCTTAAGATGAAGATAAAACTTTGAATGAATATTTTTTAAAAATATATAAAAGTTTAGATAGAGTCATCATTTTTTACTCTAGTTCAATTCTCAAATTTACCATTGTAAATCCTCCAAATTTTTAAAAATAGATATCCTCCTAAACTTTTCTGATAAACCCCGGTTTAGGTCATTACCAGGTTAGATTGTACAAAAAGTGTGGCAAAGTAAGTTACCTTGCTAATAGACTCCAAGTTAAAAGATACCTGTTCTGAGTTGGCGGTGATTGGCCCAGTCACATTCAAAGATGGGGCCTGAGGAGCTGTGTATGGCGTAGGAGGAGGTGCAGAAGAGGATGTGGAGCTCATTCTTTGCTGCGATTGAGACCTATGCATAGTCGCTGCTGGATCCACTTCAGGGATGCTCTGTCACACCAATAACAAAATCCTCCATGCATTTAAACTGTTTAGATGAATACACCTGAACTATCCCACCCTGAATAACATCCCAGATGCCTGAGGAGGGGCAGAAAGACTGGCAATCCGACTACCATGGCTCTAGCTTCAATTTGACTCTGATTTTGTAATCCCGAATGTTGTGAGAAGAAATAAAATTGCCCTGAAGACACTTTAAGCTCTTCAAGGGAATTATGACTGTGGTTATAATGAATATCTAGCATTTTAGATAGGAGGCTGATGACACTAAGTATTATTAATCATAGACTTTAAAAATATTTATTATCATCGTTGTTTTTATATTACTTTGATTTGCCAACATATCTCTCCCTTGCCCTGTCCCAGAGGGTTTTCCCTTATAACAAAGAATTTTTTAAAAAATGCTCATCAAAACTAACACATCAAAAAACAGAACATTATATGCATTGTTCTACACCCATAGTCCCCCAACTTTGCAAAGAATGGGGGAAAGCACCTCCTCCATTATCATGATTCTTTCAGAGCATTTAGTTTCATTCATCATGGATTCTTACACAGTATGATAACTTACTATATTTTGGCCTTTACAAAGAGAATAATATAAATGGTAATTATATAATTACAGAATATTCTTTGTAACCACTGGCACAACAACACTGCTTTGTGTCTTTATTAGAAGAGCAAAGCAGTTATGCTTAAACCACAAAGCACAGAAAGTAGTTTGTATAATACAAATCTCAAACATAATGAGTACAATGTTTTGAAAAGCACAACTCCCTTTGAGCATCTCAAGTCATTTCTTGTACATTAACTCATTGACTGTCAAGACTCCCATTCTTATGATAAAAATTTATACAGCAGTTTGAGATTAGCAAAGCACTTTCTTAACAACAATCCTGTGAGGTATATACTAAAAGTATTGTCCTTATTTTTAGATGAGGAGCTGGGATTCTGAGAAGCTAAGTTACTTGTCCATGAACAATATAGCTAATTAAGATCTGAGTCTGCATCTGAACCCAAGTCTGGCCCAGGACGCTATCAACTCTATCATACTGCTGCTACCAGCACAGTATTTCATAAATGGAGGTCAAAGGGTTGGCATAATATAGGCAGGTACAAAAAAAGACCTCATTCCATTCTATGTAATCACATCTTATTGGTCTAGTAAACCATATTAGACTGGGGGTTAGGACATGAGTTCTAGTCTCAAGCTCCACCTTTGGTGTGTTCTCAAACAAATCTCTTAACCTTTAGTCCTCTCTCTTTCTGTAAAACAGGGAGAATATATGATGCCCCCAACCTCAAATTTCTTTGATAATATGAATAAAGAAATCTATGTGCTTTCAACTCCTATAAGCACAGCATCATGATCATGACTGCTAGCTTTATAAAAACTTTCTGGGGGAGACCTCTAAGTTTTTTTCCTTGAACTACATGTTTTAAAGTTGTGGCTCCCAAGCCGACTGGAATGAATGGTTTGCTTGGATTCACTTTGAATATTGTTGCTCAAAAAAAGAAAAAAAAAAGCATGACTCACTTGATTTGCAGTGGCAGGAAAAAATGTAGCTCTTTGCTACTCTGCAAAATTATCAGTAATCTCCATCCCCCTGTATCCCCCAAGACTGAAGGTGACTCTCAGAGGGAGAGATAATTGAATCTCTCAAACTCTAATCAGATTTCTCAAAGGTAGATACTAATGAGGCTTATGTGATGAGTCTAAGTAAGCAAGCATCTTCATGAGAACTTGACATTAAAATGATACAGCAATTGGATCTTTCTAGGCTTGGTATTAAAATCTTCTGAAGGTAAAGGACATTCTACAAGCTTTTAAATCACCAACCAGCTGCCTCATTTTATATATTCCTTATTGTTCTTAAAAAATAAATACCCTACAAACTTTGAAAAAGTGTGTTCTGAAGTTTAATAATTAAGAAGGAGCAACAGAAGGTTGGTGGAAGGTTATCCAATTCTTTACTGAGTCTTCCTGGAGAATGCCATACTGTTGCTTACCCGCTGTGGTGTATGTATTGGAGACAGGGCGTCTAAGTCTGCCATGGGAAATTCAATCCCTTTTCTTTTCAGTTCTTCATAAATATGCACCACTCCAGTGAGATCAGGACTACTCCGAAATGCATCAGCCCAAGCCTAAGAAAAATGAGACAAGAAATCTTTCATGACAGTTTACTTAAAAAGTCTGCCAAAGTTAAAAATCTACAGAACCAGAAGAATTGCAAACTATTAACAACCATATGGAAAGACTGCTCAGAATCACTGAGAGAAATGCAAATTAAAAGAATTTAGAAGTTTCACCTTACATCCAGAGAACTGGTAAAAACCAAAACAGAGGGGAATAGTCAAGGGGGGGTGGGGCATGGAAAGACAGGCACACTGTGGGGCTGTGAACTATCCAACCATTCTGAAAAGCAATTTGGAATTATGCTAAAAAGAGTGACTAAAGTATTCATAACCTTTGACCCAGAGATTCCACTGCTAGGCACATATTACTTCAAGGTAGTTAAAGATAGAAAAGTCTAATACATTCCAAAATAATATTTACAGCAATTTCTCTGGAAGCAAAAAAAGAAACAATGTATGTGCTCACTGATTGGGAAATAGCTAAACAAATAGTAGTACAAGAATACAATGGACTATTTATTACTGTGTTATCAGAGGTTATAAATATAAATATGAGGAATTTTGAGAAATGGGAAAATCGGCAAAACGAAGCAAGCAGAACCAGGGAAACAACATATGTATGACTACAACAATGTAAATAGAAAGGGGGAAAAAAAACCAACACTAAATGCTGTGGAATTCTAATGATCAGGCTAGATCCTGAAGAAGAGTTGAGAAAAAAGCCCTGATTTCCCCTCATCTCAGAGACGGGGCATGATGGATGTGAACTTTTTAACGCACGTATTGTCATATGCAGCTGATGCACTAGCTGTTTTTCACTAAGTTCGTCTTTTTCTTTCTTTTTTCCTTCCTCTTTATTACACGGGAAGCCTTGTTGGGTGGGTAGGGATATATATACAGAAATGAAATTATTACCTCCCTGCTATTTTTAGGATCAAACACAAACTCCTCTGTTTGGTAGGTAAAGCCCGTCACAAATTGGCTCCAACTTAACTTTTTCAAACTTATTATACACCATTTCCATCATTGTACATCATCTACAATTTACCCAAATTGACCTGCTTGTTGTTGTTCTCACACATTTTTATTTCCAGCCTCCATACCTTTGTACAAACTATCTCTCATGCCTGAAACGTACGATCTGCTCTTTTTTTTTTTTTGGTTGTTTTTTGGTAAGGCAATCAGGGTTAAGTGACTTGCCCAGGGTCACACAGCTAGTAAGTGTCAAGTGTCTGAGGCTGGATTTGAACTCAGGTCCTCCTGACTCCAGGGCCAGTGCTCTATCCACTGCACCACCTACCTGCCCCCATCTCTTCACTTGTCTTTAAGAAGCCCTGGTTTCTTTCAAACTGTCACCTTTTACACGAAGCTTTTCCTGATCATTCCAGCTGGTAATGCAATTACCTTGCATATGTATATATATGCATATATAGTCTCCCTTGATAGAATGTAAGCTCCCAGAGGGCAGATACTGTTTCTGTTTTTGGTTTTGTATATTCCCAATGCCTAGTACAGTGGCAGGCACAGAGCAGGCACCTAATAAATGCTTGCTGACAGGCTGATGTAAAAACAAAAGGCATAACTTTTTTGAGGGAAAAGTTTATGGACTCCCCAGTTCTCCTTTTTAGGTCAACATGCTACAGTTTTGGAATGCAGACAGAACTAGTAAAATTTAAATCTGTTCCTCTCCAGCTAGCCCTGCTAAAATCTAAGCTAGTGAGCTGGGTTTGCAATAGCATTAGTGGGAACAAAACAGAAAATATAATATTTCTGTAGAGCAGATATAGACAAGTAACACATAAGTACTGCTGTGTATCCTATAATGAGGACATTCCCCAAATAATAATGCACTAGGATGTATAATTGAAAGAACAGGAAGAGAATGCCTTGCTATAAGGGCACTGTATGAGCTACAGTGAGTACTCCACAGCTTTGATTCATATGCATTCTTACACTCTTCTTTCATTTGGTATTCTCATCTATGGTATTTGTGTATGTATGTATGTATGTATATATGTATGTATGTATGTATGTATGTATGTATGTATGTATGTATTGGCTAGGCAATGGGGTTAAGTGACTTGCCCAGGGTCACACAGCTAGTTAAGTGTTATGTGTCTGAGGCTGGATTTGAACTCAGGTCCTCCTGATTTCAGGGCCGGTGCTCTATCCACTGCTCCACCTAGCTGCCCCTTCATCTACGGTATTTAAAATGACATATAAGGCAACTGGTAAACTGAGTAAAATGGACAGAGAAATAGGTTTATGACATGTAACATGTAAAAGACTAGGTTTCAAGTTAAGGTCTTTCACCTCTAGATTATAGGCTGTTAACACAAAAAGGAATCTTAGAGATCATTTAGTCCAAGTCCCTCATTTGATAAATAAGGAAATTGAGGCCCAGAGAGATGAAAGGACATATAGCTAATCTGTGGCAGAGCTAGGACTGAAGATCAGGTTTCTTGACTCCCAACTTCAGGGCTTTTCATGTAAACACATACACATCTAGAAAAGTATCCCAAGTCTATCATAAGAAATAAGTGCTTCATGAAAATAAAAAATAAGCATTCTTTTTACTGAGTAATACTATAAGAAAAAGATAGAATTATCTCCTCACTTTTACACCTCCCTATATTTTCCACTGATCTTGAAAACTAGTTTTACTCTTCAGGATTTGTAGCACATTTCATGACAAAGTTAGCTAGATGGCTTACAAAGGGCCAATAGAGGAACAGAAAAATCTATTTGTATATTATCCCATGTAAGCCACATACTCAGCGGAGGCTGTATCCACTTTCCCAGAAAATGTTTGCATTTGTAACCTCTGCTGCCAGACTCATTTAATTGCCTCCCTGGATCAGGTACTGAATTCCAACCAATCCTATTGCACCAGGAGAAACCCTATCTCCAAACACTGGAGCCATCAGGGATGAAAAGGTCAGTTTCCAAAAAGACTCTTTAATTACAATCGACACATCTCATTTACTACCAAACCACCCCCCCAAAAAAACCCCAACCCAAAACTATTTCTGTGCATTTACTTGACCCACTTATTTAATATATATAATCGGAAATTTAAAGTCTGTTCATCAAAGCAACTTCTAAGCTTAATTCTAGTCTTTGAGCAATTATTTAGTTGTATAGTTAGTGGCTAAGTTAAAATCTGACCATAGATATTTACTAGATGTGTGACCTTGGACAAATCTGTTCACCTCAGTTCTCTCAACTGTAAAATGGGAATAATATGGAAAAAATACTACAGGAATACGAGAATAAAAAATGGGAATAAGAGAAGAATAGCATCTTCTTTCCAGGGTTGTTGTGAGGATGAAATGAGGTAATATTAGTAAAACACTTAGCACAGTACCTGGCACACTGTAGACAAATGTAGATAAATGCTAGCTATTATTTTTAGTCTTCATTGAGGATTGAAGGGGGATCTGTCCTTGTTCACCATGAAGGCTTCTATAACACCAGAAAGGCTGCTTTAATACATTTGGGGGGGGGGTAGTGGCTAGGATACCCTCACTTCACAAGTGGGACCAACTTACCTTCTCTTACCTACTACTGAATCAATCAATCAATCAATTACATATCAGGCACTATGCTAGGTGCTGGATATACAAAGAGAATACAGAAACAAGCCATGCCCTCACATTCTAATCACATTCTAACAGGAGAGACCACATAAACATATCCAACTAAGTATATGTTACTTTCTCTAGGATAAAAATTCTTTAAGGACCAGTCAGCTCCATCCTGACATCCTATTTATAGGTACAGGAAGAGAGATATTATAGATCTTCTGGAATTTACTTCAAACCCTGCGCTCTTATCTCTACCTCTTCCCTGTCCCCAGTCATTTTGAAGTGGACACAAAATGTTGCACAGGACCTCTTCCAACCACCTCTTCTCCTTTCCACTACAGGCCAAAGCTGTATTTAGATCAGCCATGAGAGCAATCAGGATGGGGAGGGGGGTTGAGAGAATAATTTTAGTTCTTTTCTTCACACCTCAAGCTCTCAGTTAGATACTAATTCGGTTTGCCAGGTACATATTCCTCTGACAAGTTGAATGCTGTGGACTATCTGATCACAGCAGGGACTCTCAGTTCAAAGAATTACAAAGCTTTTCTTCTTCCCTAACTGACTGGCAGGAAAGCTGTGGTAGTACAGGAGAAAGATTAAAGTTGGGATAGGGTACAGAAATGCACAACCGGAAGAAATCCAGAAATGATATTTATGCAGTATCTCCTTGGGACAATGTCAAGATCAATTTCTCAAAGATTCTGAATATCCATGATTTTCCTCTCCTCCCTCCCACCATCTGGAGTCCCTGCTTTCCTTCGACACTCAGCTCAAGTATCTTCTGCAGAAGGCCATTCCTGGTCCCCTCAGTTTTTAGTGCCTGTTGCCAATTATTCAATGTGAAATAATATAGTTTTCATATCTTTCCATTTCTACTTCCACAACATTTCTTCCATCTATCCCTTTCACAATACTGACACAGCAACTGTTTTTGTTCAGGCCCTCATTTACCTCTTACCTGGACTAACTGCAGTGGCCTAATTGGTCTCCTAGCCACGTGTCTGTCTCCACTTGAATCCACAGCTGCCAAAATGATTTTTCTTAAGTGTAGGTATGACCAGATCATTCCCTAGCTCTTCATTCTCATGATATGTTACTCTCCTTCCTAAACTCTACAGTACAGGCAAATTATGCTTCTGATTCTTCACACACAGCACTACATCTTTGTACTGGCCATCCCTCGATGCCTGGAATGCACTCCCTCAGTGACACCTTGGGAAAACCTCTTATTTCAAGACTCAGCTCAAGAACTACCTTCCACAGAAAGCCTTTCACAATCCCCTCAATAACTAGCACCCTCCCTCCCTAAACTATTGGTATTTATTCTACCTACCTACCTACCTACCCTGCTGTCTCCCCCATACAATGTAAGCACCTTGAAAACATTTTTGTTTCTATGTCACAAGACTGCAACAGAGTTCC